AGCCCGAAAGGGGAACAGAGTCTCGTGACAGACACAGTGATGAAGCTGGTATGTGTTTGCAGTACACAAGCCACGGTTAAGACGGTTGTGACCCTGTCTCTCTCTCTCTCTCTCTCTCTCTCACATACACACACACGATGCGCAAAACTCCGCATTTGAACAGTCAATAGCAAATACTTAAACTAATAACAAAACAGTAACTGATTCAGAAGCGCAGATTGTCATAGCAAAGTCAGAATTATCTCCTCTCCTAGGTTCACGAAACGGTCGTTCATAAAATGCATTGCTGTTCTGTTGTAAGTAATCTTAAAGATTCCTAAATGCATCTACTTTCTGAAGGCCAAATAAAGTGCTTTAGCTTTCGCCTAGAAACACTCTGACATGGCTGCTTCAACACTAACTGCGGTTACTGAAACCACGCCTTCTTTCTTTGCGTGCACATTTGGGCCGCATTACGCAAATATTCCCACATAGTGAGGTAGATATGTGGGGGCGTGTTAGAACGAGCCGTATTAGGGGGTAAAGAATTTGATAAAGAATATCTCTTTGGTTTTAAGACTTTAGTCTTTGCAACTTCAGGGATCTTATCTATGCACAATCAGCTTGTAACACTCCAAAGAGAAAGGAAAACTTGAAATCGCATCATATGACCCCTTTAAGAGCCAAACTGTAAAAAGTATATATTAAGCTAAAATGGAAAAAAAGACATAAAAAAGACCCCCCCCCCCCCAAAAAAAAAACCTTACAAAAATTGGAAATGTTGCCTGAAATAAAATGTTTAAGTACTAAAATTACTAAAACTCAAAATAATACAAAAATTAGTTTTTGTTAACTGAAATTTAGATTTAAAAAAAGAAAGAAAGAAAAAACAAAAACAAGAAAAATAAATAAAAATGAAAATGCTCACCAAAGCTGAATTGATTTAATCAAAAATACAGTAAAAACAACAATATTGTGGAATATTTTTTCAAATTTAAAATAACTGTTTTCTATTGCTGAAATTTAGATTTAAAAAAAGAAAGAAAGAAAAAACAAAAACAAGAAAAATAAATAAAAATGAAAATGCTCACCAAACTGAATTGATTTAATCAAAAATACAGTAAAAACAACAATATTGTGGAATATTTTTTCAAATTTAAATTAACTGTTTTCTATTGCAATATATTTTTAAAATGTAATTTATTCCTGTGATGCAAAGCTGAATTTTCAGCACCATTACTCCAGTCTTCAGTGAAAACAGTTGCTTAATATTTTTGTGGAAACTATGATAATGTTTTTTACAGGATTTTTGATGAATAGAAAGTTCAAAAGAACATCATTTATATGAAATATTAATCTTTTGTAACATTATAAATGTCTTTACTGTCCCTTTTGATCAGTTTACTGCATCATTGTAAAATCTATACTGTATTTTGCTTTCAAAAAATAAAATCTTACTGATTCCAAATTTTTGACTAGTAATGTCTATAATCAATTACATTAAATACATTACATAATACACTATATAATAATTTTACAAATTCCTATGACTTGGAAATCACAATTTTAAAAATCTCTGATATTCCCAGGTGTTTCCCGCTGTTCCTTAACAGTCTCAAAGCATACTGGCTTTAGTTGTAAGCACTCACGGTCGTCTTAGGGCACTAGGTAGGAGGCACAAGCTAATATTATGATTAATGTGAGACAAAGCCTTCATTGTGCTGCTGGTGATGACGTATTAACAGACATTAGGCAGGCCGATGGGCATCACTGGTAAATGCAAACACCTGCGCCGTGAGATAAAAGCGGAGCGTTTCGTTGAAGCGTCTTGTAGGATTGAGTGCCAGCAAACAAAGCAGCCGATGATCAGATGAGCCTGGCTGTAGATCACGGGGCATTTATCAGCCTGGTGGAGGCCGTCGTGCATAATAATGAGCTCTTATATACGTGCTCATTAATATTCAAATGAGTCATTTTTTTTAAAGGAGGCTTGAGAGCGTCAAGGGAAGCTGGAAAAATGAGATTCCTGAATGATTTTAATGAGGGTGTTTATATGAGTGAGCCAGAGGTCTGAAGGGGAGCAATTGGCGGTAAATAGAAAAACGGGAGAGCGTTTAAATGAGGGAAATGGAGTGAAAGGGGAGATTACAGGCTGGTGTGGGGCTTGTGATTTGCTTGTGAAGTGCAAACCTGGTACTTTGAGATACTTCATTTTCTTTGGCCTTTCGGCCTCATTATTGAAAAAGACTCGGGCTCTGTTCCAAAACCTAGTGAGCTGCCTACATAGACAGCATTTTAAGGAGTCACAGGCACACGTGTATCACATGCAGTAGTGCTGTTATTGGTAACTAAAACCAAAACCACTAAAATTAGTTTTTGTTCACTGCAATTAAGCTGAAATGGATGAAAAAATTTATTAAATCATTTAACAAAGTTGTAAGTGAATGTTGCCTTGAAATCTAATAAAAAATAATCAAAATAAAAATGACAAAAACAACAGAATTACTAAGAATTGAATTAAAAAGAAAATAGAAAATATAAAAATAAAAGCTAATTCAAAATATTAATAAAACTAGTACATATATATGGCGTTAAACCGAAATTAAGCTAAAATGAAAAAAAAAAAAAGGATTAAAAAAAATTACTTACAAAAATTCTAAATGTTGCTTTGGAAACTAACTGAAATAAGTTAAAGTACTAAAATTACTAAAACAAAAACTGAAATGAAAATAAAGCAAAATAGAAATATTTAAAAAAGCAAAAACTAAAAAAAAAGGAAAATACAAGAATAAAAGCTAATTCAAAATATTAATAAAACTAGTACATAGATATGGCGTTAAACTGAAATTAAGCTTAAAAAAAAAAAAAAAAAAAAGAATAAAAAAAATTACTTACAAAAATTCTAAATGTTGCTTTGGAAACTAACTGAAATAAGTTAAAGTACTAAAATTACTAAAACAAAAACTGAAATGAAAATAAAGCAAAATAGAAATATTTAAAAAAGCAAAAACTAAAAATAAAGGAAAATAGAATAATAAAAGCTAATTCAAAATATTAATGAACTAGTACATAAATATGCATTTTCGTTAACTGAAAGTAAGCTAAAATAAAAAAATATATCAAAATATCAAAAATGTGAAAAGGTGACTTGAAAACTAACTGAAAAAAATATATACTAAATACTAAAACTGAACTAAAAATAAATATTTATACAATATTTATATAAATATGAAATAGAAAAATAACCCTAAAACTAAAATTAAAAATGGAAATAGAAAAATGAAAAGCTAAATCATATGAATAAATACTATAATACTGTATAAAAATACTAAATAAATAAACACTTGAATTAAGCAAGAGACATGTAAATTAACTATAAATACGCTTAAAACTCATTCCCTAAAAGTATCTATAAAGAATGCTGAATGTTATTATGAGTTGACTACTTTCCCCAATATTTGTGTGTAGAGTATTAAGTCATTAGTTTACCTGCTCTATTGAAATCAATTGGAACCACCTATGTAGAGTGATACAAATCATCCAGAGCCATTTATGAGTATTACAGAAGACAGCTGCCTATGTAGACAACAGACAGCAAGTAGGCTTATCAGGTTTTTGGAACAGAGCCACAAAATCAAACATTGCAAACACAACACAGACGTACAAACCGTCATGATAGACAACTTCACAAGAAAACCACTTGAACATGTAAGAAAAGCACGATGCTTTCTCAAAAGCGCACCTGTCGTCTTTGTCTCCATCCCAGAAGACGGCGTTGTGTCCCTGCAGCGGAGACAAGAAGAGCTGGCTGTGTTCCTGGCAGGGCAGCAGGTACCTCAGACAAGCAAAACTGGGATCCTGCATCTGTCTCATGAGAGGAGCGGCCAGGGGACGCTACAGACACCGCAGGACAGGACACTATTAGACACATGCTTTACTTCACAACATCTGCAGCTAAAACGTGCCTACGTGACTATTTTTGTCTCTGGTTTATGTCTGTTTTAACATACATTACAGCTCAAAAGATTGGGGATGGTAAGACTTTTTATTAATGTCTCTGCTCACCAAGGCTGCATTTATTTGATCAAAAATACAGTCAAACAGTGAAATATTATTACAATTTAAAAAAACTGTTTTCTATGTGAATGTATTGTAAAATGTAATTTATTTCTGTGATCAAAGCTGACTTTCCATCATCATTACTCCAGTCTTCAGTGTCACATGATCCTTCAGAAATCATAATAATATGCTGATTTGCTGCTCAAGAAACATTTCTGATTATTATCAATGTTGAAAAGTTGTGCTGCTTCCAACTGTGATTTTTTTAAGGATTATTTGATGAATAAAGAGTTAAAAACAGCATTTATTAAAAAAATTAAACCTTTTGTAACATTATAAAAGTCTTCACTGTCACTTTTGATCAATTTAATTCATCCTACCCGAAAAAAGTACAGTAGTGTTGAACAGTAGTGTATATTCTATATAAATATAAATACAGCTTTGTTGCTTTAAAAGATGAGCTTTCTTGATCTTTCACCACTATTTTTTGCCATTAAAGTCCACAACAGAAACCATTTAAAATAGATCTGACTTCAGTAAATATACAATATTCAACTTTTTAGCCACAAACCAACTAAATTAATGGACATCATCCCTAGCCAACCCAACTAGTTAGAACTAGTTTTCTCTGTGCAATTAACTCAAAATTATGGGGTGTTCACACTGACAACCATTTTTCATGACATTTATATTTTTGCATTTGGCAGACGCTTTTAACCAATGCAACTTACAATGCATTCAAAAATTCACATTTTCTCAGTTCATGCATTCCCTGGGATTCGAACCCATAACCTTGGCATTGCTAATACACTGCTCTACTGTTCATGCTACAGGAACACCACCATTAATGATTCATTTTCAATGAGCAACAGCAACCAATAATTGTGTGACGAAGTTAAATGTAACTTTATGCAAAAGACTTGTGAATGCATCTTTATTAAAAGTCAGGCGTGTGTTGTACCTTCTCTGGTTTGGTGTCCCAGCACTCCTGCATCAGCGCCTGCAGGCAGTGAAACTGCACCTCCTCTGGGCTGCCCAGTGCCGGTCTGAGCCCTTTCGACAGCTTCTTAGCGATCTGCAGCTGGTGCTGACCCATGCACGGTCTGCGGCCGGACAGCAGCTCATACAGGACCATGCCGTACGAGAACATGTCCACCTGAAACACAGACGACAGCAACCCGATGTAATGCTGTTAAACAGTCTCAGGCGGCCCATTTACTGCCAATTTGCACCATGCAATTCCACCATCTCGCCGGGCAGATAGCAAGTAAACTAGATCTCCACAAGCCGAGCTGTATATTTTACTTTATTTTCTGGCTGTGACATAATCTGATAAATGAAAGCAATAATAAACATCTGGTCTCGAGTGCAATTCATGCCCAAAATAATTTCCTTACTTAGTATTTTTGTCCTGTTTTCTAATACAAATATCTAAAAAAAAAAAATCTTAAATCAAAATACATTTACTTGAGAAGAAAAATAAATCTTGTTTTTTGGAAAATGCATGAAAACGAAGTGAGTTTATGCTTAAAAAATCCGTCAGTGGGGTTCACAAATGTTTCCTTAAGTTTTTTTTCTTACTGCATTTTTTAAAGCAAAAATTGGCATGCATTTTTCAGAAAACAAAACTTAATATTTAATAGACCAAATTGATTTCAATAATCTGACTTTCTCCCAGTAAAAAAACTTTTTATACAACAGATTTTTTTAAATTGTATTTATTATTATTATTATTTTTAATTTAAGAAAAATTCAGAGAAAAAATGTGACAAACATGCTGTCATATGCCAGTTGGCTAAGAAAAATAATCTTGTTACATCTCTACAATTAACTCAATATTATGTTCATACTGGCAGCCACTTGCAGAGTGTTTAGATATTTGCAAAGGAAAACAAATAAAAAAATACTAAGAAAATATTTTTTTTGCAGTGAAAATGTGGCTCAGACTTTATGGCGATGGTGAAATGTGAGGCCAGAAGGGAGGAGAGATGGAAAAGCAAAGGATGAGTTAACAAAAGGAAGAATGAAGTCATGATTTCTGACACAGCAGATCGTACTTCACTGCTGTGGTTCATTCGCCAGACGTATTTCTATTAAACGTCTTTCTAGGTCATTTCTATAAATGGACATGTGCTTTGACGAGAGCTGTGTCAATTCGGGACTGTATTTTTAGGGCGCTCGGCAAAGACAACACAAAGGGAAAAAAGGCACATTTCCACATTTCGCTTCAGGTTCGGTAGCCTGAAATGACATCACAGAGCAGGCATGTGAAAGAGCAGGAAGTAGTTTGTGAGATGCGCGCACGCGCACGCGCACGCGCGCGCGCACGCGCACACACACACACACACACACACACACACACACACACACACACAGAGAGGATCTACAGAGACTCTTTACTCTCGATCTTTCTTGAGTCCAGATATCTCACGTTAAAAGGCTATTACACGCTAATGATTCGATTAGCAATGACATGAATCAAATAATTAATTAAAATGCCTCTTAGGAGACTAGGAGAAATGCCACTAAATTAATCCTGTTGTTTTATATTCAAGGACCTGTATGACATTGTCTTCCATGAAACAGAAAAAAGTCTGATAGCACTGAAAATTATTCTAATTTGCATTTATATTTACTTTTTCCATATGTATGATTTCTCTCTCTCTCTAAATATATATATATATATATTCTCTCTCTCTCACATATATTATTTCTCAATATTTTTTTCTTAGGCCACCTAAATTATACAGACACAACCTTTCACATTTGGTCTGATAAAAATAAATAAAATAAAATATAATACTCCCAGATATTCATTATTATATTAGCCCAAACAACTAATGTAATATTTTCGACAATTAACAACTATTTCCTCCAGTAATTTTATCCTGAAAAGGCCAGATTTATCATTGTCTACAACTTCTTGCCATTCATATTTAGTTGGAGGGTCTTCCTTGAGCCATTTCCTAGTTTATCACCTTTTTACTGATTGCAAATAATTTATTAAAAAAGCTCTCTGTATTTCTGTGTTATATTTGCAGAGGAAATGCCCAAACACAGTTTTAATTTAACACAGTTTTTCCCCATTACAAAATATATCATCAGCATAACAATTTGAAAAGGGTTTATGCAGGATTTTTAAGCTCAAATTTAAGACCTTTTAAAGACATTTTTAAGACCTGCACAAATAAAATTAATATCATATGAGCGGGGTATGGCAATGTCTATAGTACCATATTAAACTGTAAAATTACTGTAAAAAGCATAATTTACAGTTCAGATACAAGTTTTCACAAAAACAAAAAGTTTTATAAAATGATAAACTTTATATTTCAGCCTTTAAACCATTTTTAAGTCAAAAGTATTAATTACTATATTAATTTAAACAATTACTAACAATAAATTATTATTTCAATTAAATAACAAATTAGGGGTGTGCGATATTGACAAAAAATTATATCTCAATAATTTACAGGGATTTTATCGATAACGATAATTAGACAATATTTTGTTGAATGTGTTATTGTGCTGATATCTTATCTCTAATTGTGCTGACAGCTGACTCCTGAATTTTTTTTATAGTCTTCATATTCTGTGTGGTCAGTTCACAGCAATGATAGAAATTAATCATTTCCAAAAAAAAGTTTTATGGTTTTTACCTTTAAGCCATTTTTTCTAAAAGTGTGCACCATCTTTTGAGTCAAATTCTTGCATTTGGGCTGTTGCCAAGTAAATGAAATCAGTATCAACAAAATTGATCTTTGCAATGCAGAGGAAACACAGAAGCTGCATTAGAAGTGTCATTTAGATGCATTTACACACTGTTTAATGCAGCTCTGAGGGACATTAAATAATTTAATCTGCAGTTACAAATGCATAAATAATGTTTTGATATTTTAAACATAAAACATTGAAAACTGATGTTTGAAATTATTTAAAAAATGAAAAGGTACCTTAAATGTGAAATTAATACCGCCAGTAGGTATCAGCAAGTCACTGTTAAGAAGTGATTCATTGCGATTGAACCGAATCATTTAAACGGTTGATTCATTCAGGAACGAAACACCGTCATGTTGCTCAGAGACGCAAACAGCGCTGTGGCTGTGTTTGAAATGATTTTTGTTGCCGAAATAGAGCAAAAACAGGAAATATGGTGTCTAAAACGTAAGTCTCTTAATATTAACTTCTTGTTTGTTGAACTGTTGTATAAAATCAATATCACATTTGTAATCGTGCTGACTTTTGGAGAAAAAAACGGCACTTTTCGTGTGATATTATCTATATGAAATGATATAAATATATAAATTTTCTGCCCCATATCTTGAATTATGTGATAATTCTAAATGCATTTTAATAGACTGATTCATGCAGTGAAAGAACGCACCATAAATGCGCGCGCGCACTAGTCTAACCTGCGCACTCTGTAGGTGTTTTGTTTGTTTTTCGCGATATACTCGATAATATCAAATCGCACATCGTTAAAACAACAATTACGATATTATCACAGACCATACATATCACACACCCCTACTGTTTAGATTTTTATAATGCATTGTCTTCTTATCAATCCACCAGTTCACATTTGCAGGGTAAAAGCATGGGTCGATTTTTGCATTTGTCTGAACTCTGAACAAAACATCAGTTTTATTGAAAATGCTCATTCATTCTGCCAGCAGGTGGAGCGTTTGGTAGAAATATAACTGTTTCCCCGGTAACTGCTGTACACAAAGCAGTGCAGCACTGGACTTTGAATGTGCAGCGCTCGTGTTTATTTAATGAAATCATAGCCTTTTGAAGTTTAATCGTCACATTCAGCCATATCGCAATTCCGGTCTTTACCTCCCCAAATTTAAGACCTCTTGAAATCATAATGAAGTCTTTCTTGTACAATTTAAATTTGATGCAACTAAATTTAAGACTTTTTAAGACTTTAAGACCTGCAGAAACCCTGTTGAATTAAAATTTTATTTTCAGAATTGTATTCTTAAGCTGTACAACATCTGATCTGACAAAAAATAAAAAAAATAATAAATAAAAAAATTCTCAGATCTTCACTATTATATTAAGCAATTGATGTTTTTAATTGATATATATACACATTTATATATACATTTTAACAAGCATTTTTCCATTACAAAACTATGTATATGCTAATATGCTATATTACAAGCATACCAATTTGATTGAAATTTTTAATGCATACTTCCTTGGATTGTATTTTTATTTTTTTTCATATTTGAATTAAACAAAATGGATAAAATAATCAACATGCTCTCTGACTTTTGTGAAGGATTTTCAGCTTCAGACGGCACTACAGTCGCCCACAGTCCACCTACTTACTGTTTGATGCACATACTACACAAAACTGGAAAGCCTTTGTGAAAATCACAAGCTCTTGTGTTGCCGATTGCAAAAAGTCAGGGTGCATTGGGTGCATTTTTATCAGTCACTGGAAAACAACATGTTTCTGCAGATTCTATAGATTTCTACTCAAAAACTATATGTGGAAAAACGCCTATCTGGACCTAAAAAGAACAATCAAATCTAAAACAAATTTGAAACAATTCCAGTATTTGGATTGGGAGGATAAACAGTCCCGCAAACTACAACATCTGAAACATCTGTCGTTCTCTTGTGACGCCGCATGAGAGTTGTGGAAACATGATCATAAATTCCATTAGAAACATGGTAATAGATTTCATTCTGTTCTGCTGGACATGATCCACACAAACTCAGCAAACAGAGCTGGAAAACAAATCAGCCTTGTGAACTGCCCTAAAAGCCTCACTGGATCTCAAATCAGTCTTTGAAGGGAAATCCCTGGATGTGGACAGGCAGGGCAAGCACATGCAATCTCAAAGAAAACCTGTCCGAAGTGTTCTCCAGACGCCTCTCAGATTCACTACTGAAAGTGGTTTCTTGGACTGGACAAACCGATGAAAGGAGCATTCTGGGTGCAAAACAAGTTAAGCTCTATTGACAGATGCTGTTGATTACTGCACGTCATTTCAACTTGTGCCTCAGTGTGGAAAAACTAGCAGAAATCAGGATCAGCTGACACTAATGCACAGTTATTTACATGAGTACAACAAAACACTGGATAGCCAAGTGTTGTAAATGTTGACTATTACTTATACAAATATAAATATTTGATGGAAAAACTTAAACGTAAATGAAAATTAGAAATGTTGCCTTCACAAATAACTCGAAGCAAGTTGAAGTATTAAAATGACAAACTAAAATTAAAATAAAAAATAAATTAAAGCTAAGAAAAAGAAAATTATTATAAAAAAACATACCATTTCTAATAATTAAATAAAAATAAAAATAAAAATATCATAATAAAAGCTACATGAAAATACTAGTAAATAATATAATAATATATAAAAATGCTAAAGTAACACTGGATACACACAAAAAATTATAATGATTATTTAACACTAATGCACAATTATTATAGGAGTAGAATTAAATTCTGGATAGCATCAATATTTTAAATGGCAACCAAAACTATTACAAGTCATTTTCACTAAGTGAAATAAAAATTTAATTAAATAGAAATGTTAGATAAAGATGGCGATTTAAAAAGCATAAATGACAATTAGAAATGTTGCTTTGGCAGCTATTTCAAATAAATATATATTTTTAAGTACCAAAATTACTAAAACTAAAATTTAAACAGCTACACAAAAAAACCATTAAAAAAAAACTAACAAAATGACTAAAACTTAAATAAAAATGAAAACATAAGCATAAATGGTAGCCAAAACTATTACAGATCATTTTCAGTAATTGAAATAAAGCCAATATAAAAAAATAAATGAAAACTAAATACAATTATTTATAAATACTAATAAAAAAACAAAAACACATGAAAAAACATAAAAGTACATGATAAACTTTAATTAAAACAAAAACTTAATATAAAAATAAAAGCTAATTTAAAATATTAATAAATACTATCATGGTATATAAATAATACTAAAGTAGCATCCTGGGGCTCAATAATTGGAGAAACCCCCCAAAAAACTCAGACTGGGAATGTCAAATTGATAAATGCAAATATAAAACACAAAATAAAGTGCACTGGAGAGTTTAAAAGCAGAAATGTGATGTTTATGTTAATTATTTCATAAATAAGTCTTATTTGTGCCATAAAGTTCTAAATCATAGATGAACTTCTAGTTATGCATAACAGCATAATTCCCGCGAAGAAATTTCTACATCTTAACAGTACTTTGCATATAGTCATATTAACATAGCTTTCTGACGGGAGTTTAAAGACTGTATACTGAGAAAGCATTCATCCTTTGAATCTGAACTCAGCTTGAGTTGAGACAGCAAGCAGATTTTGACCTTTGCTGTCTCACTAAAGCTGCAGGGGAAGATCGGTACGAACCTTCTCATCATAGACGATGCCGGGCCGGATCTCGGGAGCCTGGTAGCCGGGTGTGCCCTCGACCCCCAGCGCTCCTTCGTGGAAGGACTGGCGCGAGATGCCGTAGTCGGACAGCTTGACGTTGACGGAGTCCTCCAGCTCCAGAGACCACACCAGGATGTTGTCGGACTTGAGGTCACAGAAGATGATGTTCTTCTTGTGCAGATACGCCAGGCCCGTGACGATCTGATAGGCCACTTTGAAGGTGAGCATGTGACCCAGCGGCACAAACTGAGAACCTGAGGAACATCAGCCAATAAAGACAGATGTGAACTTCAAGCCGTTTTGTCTCTCACAAACCCATCGTATGATGTCAGAAGAGACTGCTTTTATGATATCTTTATGACACGAGGGTGAGTAAATGATGACAGTTTTTTGTGTCTGTGTGTGTGTGTTTGTGAGAATTATTAAGGCTTTAAGGTTTGTTCACCAGTCTGATGCAATTAAAAGTCCAAATCTTCATGCCAAAAAAATGTGTCATGCCAAATTATCATTATTCTCTGAAAAAGTTATAAAAGTGATGGAGATCTAAAGAACAGCAAATTATTTGTTGAATTAACAAAAAGTAATTCTTATACAGATATATATATATATAATGTAAATTATAATTATTAATTTTGCACAGCTTAAAGGGGTCATATGATGCTGCTAAAAAGAACATTATTTTGTGTATTTGGTGTAATGAAATGTTTATGCGGTTTAAAGAAAAAAAAAAAAACACATTATTTTCCACATACTGTACATTATTGTTTCTCCTCTATGCCCCGCCTTTTTGAAACACGTTGATTTTTACAAAGCTCATCAGTCTGAAAAAGTGAGGTGTGCTGTGATTGGCCAGCTATCCAATGCGTTGTGATTGGCCGAATACCTCAAGCGTGTGACGGAAATGTTACGCCCCTCACATACTGTTGATGCCGTGTCCCGGCCGGAGCGATGATTCAAAAACATGAAAACCCATTACAAACGAGGCATTTGTTGCATCCAGTGGGGACATACAGTAATTACTGATTCTAATGACTTATACTGTCTTTTTACGTGTTGCATTGCATTGCGCCGCGTAAACAAAACTCTGTCTGCATTTGTGATCGGAGAAATTACAAACAACAAGTGCTACTCTACACTGCTCAAAACTCGCGTTTGAATCATCAGTGGCAAATCCTTTAAATGAAAACGTACTTACAGACTGTGAGTCAGAACTGCCGGCATTTTAGTCTAACGCTACTTTCCCAGGATCAGTAAACAGTCCTCCATAAAATGTGCTGCACTCATCTGGATATTTTGGTTAAACTGTTCTGGAACAGTGTTGTGATAAATACAACTTAACCACTGATTTGTAGTCGTATCCTCTTTTGGAAGACCAAACAAAGTAGTTTCGCTTT